CCAGACAAAATATGGGACACTCATTAGAATTTGATTTCAACATTCTATAGAACATACTTAGAATCGTAGTTTATTTGAAATTCACATTTGACTGGGCAACCTGTATCTTTATTAGCTAAATTCAGCAACATGATCCAAAAGAAAATTAAGATAATATATTTTTAATTGCCATTATACCTCTCTGCACCAATGGAAAGCAGATGAAAAGATTTCATAATTCTCTATTTTATTTTAAAGATTTTTATTACTTATAAAATGGCAGAGATCCCTAAACAATGGTAAGGCAGGTGAAGAAAATGGGCTTGCTGGTAGGAAGGGCTGTGACGAGCATTTAAAAGTTCACATATCAGAAAACCTGATGTGACAGCAATTCCTGCCCCTTGAATAATTTAAGATGCAACTAAAAAAAGAAATGTTATAAACTACATACACAAACCAGCCTTAACTGATAGTCACCTGGCTTGCCCATTAACCTACTAGCTTTGCATTTCCAAGAAAAAAGCAAAAGTTAACTTAACTCCCTGACCACTTCTAAGAACTACTATTGACTTCTACATGAAACTAACTTTTCCAAGTGTCAGCTTCATTTGATATCTCATAAGCAAGGCAAATATCTGATTCCTAACTAACATTTTTTTTAAATTTCAGTGACAGATATTTTCAAAAAGAAGCACACTGTTGTAACTACTATTGCAAAATTCCTTTCATTTGATACAGATTGCTTTTAGGAGATAAGATAGCCAATCCCTTCTGAAACATTTAAAACATGTCACTTTCCACCATTTCCAGTGGGTGCAATTGACCCAAAGGAGAAATTATTGTTTGAGAAAATCTGCTCAAACAGTCTAAATAGTTAACCAATATTTTCTTTAAGAAAACACAAGCACAAGTAGGCCAGGTCCAAATGCTGAAGTTAAATTAGGGATCTGGCAATTACTGATGATTCTGGGTTCTGGAGAGAACCATTCTGAAAAATGTCAGAAAAAAATGACCTGTCTTTTTCTAAGTTGTTTTATCTGCATTGCCCAGAATTTTGTGGCACTGAGTGCCCGACCTTTAAGGTTTAGCTGACTTGGGAGTTTGAAACACAGTAGTTTGCAAAAGTCCTTCTAGAAGAAATAGTGAGACTTTACTTCTATTTGTTACTGCATACTTTTTGGATTATTATGCTAAATCTGAGCTGGCACATTATTAACCTTTTCAAATTAGGCATTTAGTAGACAGCTGAATATTTTCTTAATTTGACATTGGGTTTGCTGGAACAGCTAGCATTGAAATATTAGTTGAGATTTTTGATTTACACAGTCCAAGTGCAAACATATACTTTGCTTTTGAAGAGGATAGCCTGCCTAGACTATAGCAAATTTTATAAATACGAATTGCAACAATAAGAGCTAACACTGCACATTACTATGTCCCTAGCACTTTCTATTTGCAGGTGTGTTCATATATTTAACCTTCCATATCTTATGAGGTCTTATTTCCCCAATTTTGTAAATGTAAAAATTGAAGATTAGTTAAGATATTTGTCCTAAATTACACAATTAATAAGTAGTAAAGCTTAGTTTTGTACCCAAGCAACCTAGCTGCAGAATCTGATGCTTCTGTAAATGTGAACAATGAAGAACTTCCACCATCTCAGAGCAGGGTTCCTATGAAGGAGGTGACCTGTCTTTGACTGTAACCACAAATTTCAGGGGAATAGTGGTTAACTGAGCCAAAAGAATGAAAACAACTCTTTTCTACCACCCATAACAAACCAAAGGCAACTTTCTGTTCCTTTAAATGTGTATGCAATTTTTGTTTAATATATTTTTGAAAAGGTTACTGAACTGGTACATATCAGGACTGGTAGTATGCACAGAGCCATAACCCTGTAGGGAGAGAGGTTCCTTCAAGGATATGGACATTCTAAGTATTAGAAGAGCTATCTGACATATTTAGAATCCACAAAAGATCCCTTGCTGAGTGGCAGACTGGGAATCTACTGTGCTGTTCTTTACAAGTGATCAATAAGTATGCCTAGAGTGTTTGGCAATGGTGTGGAATGTACTCTTCCCAGAGGGAGACCAGGGCCAGACTTCTCTGAGGGCAGGAAAAGTAGGATCATAGGATTTGTACCTCTCTTACCTATTAGGTGTTTCTCTTTCATTATCCTTGAGTATTTAAAAATAATCGAAAGCTCCAGTATATCTCAGTGAAGGAGTTTTTTTGTTTTTTTTTTAAACTTGGGACATAGAATATTAAAGGGGAGCAATGGTTGTGGGAATGAAGGAAGATAATCTACAAGTGAGCAGGAAAAGTCTGAAGACGAAAGTTACCCAATGACAGGCTATCTTCCCTTCCTGCTTGGTTCTGGGGCCAAACCTTGGAGGTTCCAGATTGTATGTTAATTTAAAAGCAGTTCTCCTATATACCTTGTACTGGCATAATATAAGAGGTGTTTTTTTTAAAAAATAGTTTTTAACACAGCAGTGCTTGTGTCCTACCATAATAAGGACTGAAGAGAGAACTGAAGTTCATCCAAGGTGTTTTTGTTCCTACTATTTAAAATACAGGTGGGTAAATGTAGAGATCTACCTGGGCTGGGTTGTTGACAATGCACAGGTTATCCTCAAATGCCCATTATAAATCCTGGAGGAAATGCTATGTGTATATTGAGAGGATTTATTAGGATAAAAATAGGCTCTTGCCCAACCCTTTTCCTGGCTCAAGAAGGTATCATTTTGAGGATTGTACAAAAAAATGTTGAATCCTCTAAAGCTGGAGGAAAAAAGGTAGAAAACAGAAAAGAAACAACAGCCTGGGGGAAGTTCTTAATAGAAGTGTGCGGGGGAGCTCTAGGATAGGTGTGGAAACATACCTGCCACTCTGGAGAACCCTTTCCCCCTTGCCTCTTTGCAATACATCAGGTTTTTTTTTTTCTCCTAGAAAAATAATATTTTAGATTCTGAAAACATCTTACTTTTGAATGCAAAGAATTTCAGGAGGTATTTACAACGATCTTTGTATTATTTTCCTGACAATATATTGCAAGTAACTCTTTAACAATGAACTGAAACTAAAGAGATTCTTTCAGAGGCACAAGCTTCAGAGGTAAGAACAAAGCTTCTATTAGTTCCATGGCTCTCTGGGATAGGTCCATAGAGACCAAATAGGGGAAAGAGGCAGTGTGACTTCCTGACTCCCAGGAGCCCAGGAACTATCCTGATCTTATTGGCTCTGATCCCTACAGATGTAGGTGGGGGCATGGATGGGGCTGGCCCACCAGCCCTCTCTCTGGGGCAGTGGATGAAGACAATATTCCTTCTCTCATAATAACCAGGTAAACTGTAAGACTGGATTAAAAAAATAAAAAAGAAAATCTTGAGCTTAGGAAAATAATGCTACAATCAACTGCTTGCTAGGATTAATTTCGGTTTTGTCAATTGCCTGGGCTGTTCAAAATATAAAAATATAAAATAAATAAAGAAGCAGCTACAAATCAAATTAGCAAACAAGCCCATCTACTGGCTCGCTTAAGGTTTTCTGAGCCTCCTGAAAAGATTTTAAGGTAAAAGTAAAGATGCATTCCATTTCATTTCCTAAACATCTCTTGGTTTGAAGACTGTGGAATTACCATGCGAGGCCATCCAAGAGCTGCCGACCAATAACAGATTACACCTTCCAGATCCACTCTTTCATCCCAGCCTGAGGCTGCACAAGCCAAAGAGCCCGGAGTGTTCCGGAATCGTCAGCAGATGAGTCTCCAAACCGTGCAAACGCCAAAACAGACAGCAAGTAGAGAAAACACCACACTGTACCTCGACTTTGGAAACTTTTTCTTAAATCTGTCTTTTGTAAGCTGCCAGGGAACCAGTAGTTTCTTTTCGAGGGACAGTAATGACTCAGGGCCACAATTACAGGAACCTTAAGGAACTCACAGGGGAGCAAGAACTAAAGCTTCAGTCCAACGGGCTTGCACTATGTGTCTTTGGATCGGTCTGAACAGACCAGTGGTCGCGCACTCGGGTTACTTTTATCCACCCGTGCTGTGCCGTATCCACAATTGTCTCTAGTCAGGATGCATTTTCTGGAGAAACTGGATACCCAACTCTAGACTCAGTATTGTCTGTCTGTCTCTCCAGCCCCTACCAAGAAGAACTCTGTCTGCCTGCTCTACTCTCCCTAGAACCCCCGCCTGAGGTCATGGCTGTTGGTAGTCCTAAGACCTGAGAGGCGCGCGCATGGGGACGTGGCCCGGAGCCTGTGTGAGGGGTGGGAATGGGGAAATGGGTGGAATTGGGGTGAGGGGAATGCTAGCTTTAATCAAGATTCTAGTTTCTTCCCAAAGGTACATTTTTTAAAGGCTCCTGGACACAAGAAAGACCTGCAAAAAAAAAAAAAACACAAAAACCCTGATGTGAATTCGCGAGCTTGACCCCAGCCGGGTCCACTGTCCCTAGGACCCCTTGAGCCATATCATCCTTAAGCATAACTAAAAAGGGACCTTGGAGACCCCGAGATCGCCAACCCGGAACGAAGACCAGCCCCACCTGGGCAGGCAGTCACCTCCTAAACCTTTCGAGATGCGACTACCCCGGAACCCCACTCGTTCCCCTGCTTTTGAATCCCTCCCCAGGCGGAACCGCGACCAGAAGTCTGATCCGGACTCTGGCGGGTGCGCTCAGGGAACACGGCGAAGAAAGCGAAGGAGGAGCAGACAGTATAGCCCTTGGGGGTTTCAAATGTGCTGTGCCAGCCAGCCACCTGTTCCACAAAGCAGAGTTTGTGCGGGCTCGGGCTGCAGTAGGAAGGCTTCATCATCCCTTCCTTCCGCACCGCTCAAGATTGTCAAATCTAAGTGCGCACACACCTGCGCGCAGCCCCGGAGGTTCGCACCAGTCAGGATCCCGCAAGCCGCGACTTACTTCCCAGTCTCCCGGCTTCAGGTGGAGCCCCAGCTATGTCCGCGGGGGCCACACCGAGCCTGGCCCCTCCTTGAGGTCTGCGCTAAGTACCTGCTGTGAAGATGCACAGAGCGAGGAGAGTCTTGCAGACCATGATATCCCGGTGCTCAGTGCCGAGCCTGGTGCCGGCGGGAGGAGTTTGCTGGGGCCGACCAAGCGCTCCGAGCGCGGGAGACTCCTTTTCTGACCAGCGGGCTGCGGTAGGAGCTGGGAAGTGCAGACGGCTGGGCGCGTTTGGCTGGGGCAGCTCAGGTGGAAGGCGGCGGGGCAAGCAAAGCTGCGCGGCTCAGTCAGCTGCGTGCCCTCGGGCTCCCAGCGCACTTCTGCTCCATCCTAGCAGCCAGAGGCCGGGCCGCCTCCGCCGCCAAACCCCTCCCACCAGGGCCCCAAGGCGTTGACAGGGCCTCCCCCCGCTGGTTTCCCCCCTCGCAGCTCTCAGGCCCCAGGAGCTACGGCCCAGGGCGGCCTCTGCTGGACAGTCAGTATGGGAGACCCTAGGTTTTTTTTTTTTTAATAATTATTATTTTTTAATTTTTATATATGACAGCAGAATGCATTACAACTCTTATCACACATATAGAGCACAATTTTTCTTATCTCTGATTGTATACAAAGTATATTCACACCAATTCGCGTCTTTATACATGTACTTTGGATTATACTGTCCATCATAGACCCTTGGTTTAAGTGGATTCTAAATGCTTAGAGCGCCTTGCACTGTGTTAAGGGGATGCAAAGTGTGAGCAGATCTCTGTCTTCAAGAATCCATCTCAGCTTTTCTTACATGAGCTTATAGTCTTTAAAGAGATGAACCATTTCTTTCCAACTATGAAGAAACTGATCCTCGTTCCTCCAGATATTCTTTAGTGTACGTTAAATCTTCACCCACATTCGACTCTACTGCACTTCCTCCTCTCAGAGGTAGGGTGTCTTTCGCTTCCTATTTAGCTTCCTATCTATCAGAAGAAATAATACTGTCAGAATATCCATCATGAGATAAGTGAGCAAGGTGCTATTGAAAGTGTTGTATCTCCTTTTAAAACAATAAGGCATTAAAATGATTACCACTCCATTTTTCAGATGAGAAAACAGATGCTGAGAAGAAAAATAACATGCTCAAGATTACATAGCTGGTAAGGATAGTTTGTGCACCAGGCCCATAATAACAAAAGCCGGCATTTCCTGAATGATTGCTGTGGGCTAGGCACTGGACAAGCAGCTGTACAGGTCTTAATCAAGGCATTTATTCCCCTTGACAATCCCTGGAGATGGGCACTGATGTATATTCATCTTCAGGGAAGGAAGTGGCAGCACAGAGAGGTTTAAATTAAGGTTTAAGACTTGCCCAAGATCACACAACTAGTAAAGGTAATAATAAGTTATCCAAGTAGACACCCTGGCTCATTTTCTGTACTCTGCTGCCTCTCCAAAGCCCACAGCTTCTCTAACAGATCAAAACTGTCCTTTCATTTTATTCTCTGCCCCCCTTTCTTATGTCTTAGACTTACTTAGTTCTTACCCCTCAAATAAGATTTCAGATCCTCCTGATACTTGTGTTTATGAGTCTGACAGTCCCCTAGTCACCAGAACTGGGAGCTCCAGGAGTTAGTTGAGGAACCTTCCTAAATAAGTGGATTTCCTGGTACCATTAGCAGCTCTGGAGAACACCTTTAATCTGAGACTTCTTTCTCATACACAGGGCTCTTTCCTCGCTCTCTGGGGTATCATCACTTTTTTCTGTGGCAAGTTCAATTTTCTGTCTGATCCCACCATTGCCCCTCACAGATCTTGCTTTCACTTCTACAATGAGTATACACTGGGCTCATATTTTTCTTTTCTTTTGGCCAATTTATTGATTTATGTTGAAATGAGAACCAAAAGATACCACAAACAAATGCCCATCCCCCTTACCTCCTCCCTGGTGGTAGAAACTGCAAATTCAATTTGTTAAACATGTTCTTTGAATCATTTTTGACCTCAATGTCCTTCTGGTTTCTAGTGTAATCTAAGTGATTATGAAGAATTTCTGCATCTGGGTTTTGGTTGTCATGGAGGCAGGGACCACACACACACAGATGGAGCTTTGCAGGGACATTCTATGAGGCACTGGTGCCTTCAAATGGGAGTGATTTAAGTAAGTGAATAAAGGTTTCAAAGACCAAGTCACAGAAAAGTTTATTCAATTGAAATTCAACAAAACACAAAATTTTAATGGGGTCCCCTGGAGTGCCAAGCATGTGTGACTCTATCAAAGATAATGGTTTGATATTTAAAGGATAGTGATCCCTATGTATTAATCAGTTAAAATTTCCAAGACTTTTGATTGTACACAGAATCAAGTTGAAATAATTTCTTTAATTAAAATCATTCATTTTAATTGCTGATTAAAACTTTTTAATTTATTAATTTAATCAAAGCACATTTAATCACTTTAGTATATGCCAGACTTTATGATACACTGTGGAAATGTAATGGTTACAAAATCCAGGGTAGGCTAGATTATGCTACTGAAATAAGTCAACCCAAAGTCTCCGAGGCTTAAGCAATAGCAGTTTGTTTCTTGCTTATCAAAGTCTACTATGGATCCAGTTTACTTCCCAGAGTAGCTGTCCTGTATGTCAGGACTCAGTGTTATATCATTAGATCAAACACTACTTCCACATTCAGTGAGGTTGGAGAAGAGAGAAGTGAAGAATAAAGAGTAGCATTTGAAAATAGAACCAGACATGACACTTCTGTATGTATTTCATTGACTAAAGTAAGTCAATGGCCATGCCCAACTTTGAGAAGGCAAGGAAGCACAATCTCCTTCTGGTTCCTACTGGAGAGAAGAAATGGATAGCAGGGAAGAATTGTGATGTGTGCCACAGTGTTTAATTTCTTCTGCCACCAGGAAACTCATATTCTAGTGGAGAGTCAAATATTGAATGAATAGTCACAAAACTATGTGCAGCAAAATTATGTTAAATGCTGTAAACAATAATATCCACCAATATTTACTGAGCTTCTACCATGTGTTAGGAATTATTCTAAGCATTTTATATATATATATATATATATATATATATATATATATATTCATCTATTTAAATTTTACACTTTTTATGATAGATAGTATAAGCAGAATATGTCATCTATGCTACTTTTGTAAAGGGAATTTAAATTTATGAAGGAAACCTATATTTGTAAAGGTGTTTTTATGGTTTGGGTATGAGGAATCCCCCCAAAGCCCCTGTTAATTCAGGAATATTCAGAGGTGAAATCATTAGAGTATAAGAGCTGTAACCTAATCAGTTCAGCCTAGTTTGGGTGGTAACTGTAGGAGGGCGGGGCAGGGTTGGAGAAGGTGGGTTACTGGCAGCATGCCCTGAAAGGAAAGGGTGCATCTTCCCTGTGCCCACACTGTTTCATGACCCTGCCATATGAGCTAAGCATCTTTTCTCTAGTGGTTCCTTCCCACATGTTGTGTTGCTTCACTCTGGGCTCAGAGCAATGGAGTTGGCCATCTATGGACTGAGACCTCTGAAACCATGAGCCACAAATAAACTTTTCCTCCTCTAGGCTATTTCTGTCAGGTATTTTGGTCACAACAATGAAAAAGCTGAGTGAAACAATTATCTTCTCACTATTGGGAAGAGAAGGATGACTCTAATGTGCTGGAGACTCTTATCACTAGAGAAGGCACCCACTCAAATCTGAATAGCAAACCTTATACTTGTTTATGAAGCTTCCCCTGGTCACTTACTCACAGCTGCTATAGCCCAGCATCATTATTTTCTTGTTTCAGATGCAGATGGTATTGAAGCCTGAATTCAAAGCCTCCTCTTTGAGAGTTTCTCATTTTATGGGGATCTTCCATATATATATGAACATACGTGTTCATAAACTTGTTTATTTTCTCTTGTTAATATGCCCTTCATTATAGGGGGTGCCAGCTAAGAACTTAAAAAGATAGAAAATACTATCCTAATTTTAAAATACAGAAACTGAGAAAATGCAGAGCATTTAACTATGAAGGAAAACAAAGGATGCTATGAGATGTAACAGCGGAGGACCATTAGATGCTCAGTGGGATTCAGAATGGAATATGCATGTTTCCCTTTAATGCCTTATAGCAAAAGCCAGTTTCCTCTTAGAATTCTCTTGCTTTTTTCTTTTCTTTCTTTCTTTCTTTTTTAAAAATAATACTCCCCTGGGATAAAATCTAAGAGAAATCTGTATTTTTCTGACTTTCACTCTTTTTTGATCATGGTTAAAATGAATTTTTAGTATTGTGGGCTTTCAACATCTTACAAAACAAATGCCCTTGGCTGGCTTAGTTTTTGACATCCTGAATTTATTGTAATATATATAGATGATGTTAGATAATATGCATTAGATGATATTGAAGTGTTATTTCTGAATCTTGGTTTCATCATGGCTGAGAAGAGGGAGTAACTTGGTTAACAGGGCAGGAAAGGCAGTGCATGCAGTGGTTAGAGGATGGGGTCAGAATTCCCTTTTGTTGTCTACTAACTCAGTGACTAATTAATTACTTGGCATTTCTATGCCTCAGATTCTGTTAGTCTGACAGGGCTGCTATAACAGAATACCACACACCAAGTGATTTCAATGACAGAAATTTATTTTTCAAATTTCGGTAGGTTGACTGTCTTAGACCAAAGTGATGGAAAGGTTGGTTTCTGGTGAGTCCTCTCTCCTCCGCTCACAGAGGGCAGACTTCTTGCTCCCTAGTCATGTGACCTTCTGTCTTGCTCACTCAAGGTATCTCTTTTCTTATAAGGACACTAATCCTATTGGATTAGGTGTCCTTAGAAGAAATGTTTCTGACTTCCCTTAAGCCTCCTAGTTAGCTCTTTAAAAAACCTGTTTCCAAATGTAGTCACAGTGGGGATTAGGGCTTCAACATATGAATTTAGAGTGGTGAGATGCATTTAATCCATAAAATTCCACCCTCTGTCCCTTCAAATTCTTGTCCTTTCACATACAAAATGCTTTCAACCCATCACAGAAGACCCGGAGTCTTCTAACAACCCATTCCAACCACAACTCTAAGTCAAATCAAACTATCATCTAAAACAGGTACAGGTAAGACTTGAGAGATGATTCATTCTGAGGCAAAATTTCTTTCTAGCTGTTCAACTCTGAAAGCAACAAGTTACATGCTTCCAAAATACAGTAGTGGGAAAGCATAGTATAGTTTCCTCCCAACATTAGTAGGTGGATTGAATACATACACAAAAGGCTCAGCATATTCTAAGTGCCTATAAATGTCAGCCATTATTAGAG